CCAAAGAGGGACGAATGAGTGTTCCGTCGAACCTTTTCGTCTCGGAAAACAGTGCAGTCCAGGAGTCGAGCTTTCTGTCCACACAAGACGTTTCGAAGCCCGTGGACGACCTCCAGTTCGTTTTCTCCTCCTCGCATGGCACCTCGGGAATTCAAACCAGAGAATCCGTTGACATGCTCATCGCAGAGCTTCCGGACGGTACCTGCCCTGACCACATCAGGACATGGACGTTCAAGGAAGGAGAGGATACTGTGAAAGAGGACATGCTGCGTAAGGCGGAAGGGAAAGCACAGGAGAGAACATAGCTCAGTCGATGACATTCGTTTATGGGCCAGGTGTTTTCGGACAAATTTCAGATCGTTGCTCCGACCTAGACGACGGGAGTTAGGTTACATACACAAATGCCAAGATTCATTCCATGGTCAATTCTCAAGTACAAGTGGTTCTGTGTCTTTTGCGAAAGCTAGTGTATTCTCTTTGTCCCCGCATCGGCTGCATGCACAAGCTCTACGTAGATAGCAACGACGTATACGGCCCGCAGTTAGAAGCAGAAACTGAATCGTCGTTTGAGATATGGAATGCATGTCAAGACCAGTATATGACTGGTAGAAATATCGGAGTACGTGATCAAGTCAAACGACTCTTGCGAAAACAGCCAACACATAACACAGACGCCCCGATATTTCCTGTCTCAGATATAGGAGTTGATTCTGTGGTGCATTAAGGTAGGAGTAAGGGAACGGCTAAGTTAAGGGGTTTTTCTTAGAGTGGGTGAATTTGCGATTGCGAGATAACTAGGGGACAAACATGGTGAAATGCAGAAGGACCCGAATTCCAATTGTTGCACTATCTAGCTGAGGAAAAAGGAAAGGGTCAGGACCAGGAAAGAGAAGAAACATTCGACACGACGATTGAGGCAACCAAACGTCGATTTATGCCCTAAGATCATCGGGTTTCATCGCGGAAATGAGACGCGCTTAACCAGCTCCTCCATCACTTGGCTGCTTTCTTCGCGCCGCGCTTGGTCTTTGTCACCTCCAGCGGATCGTGAGGCGTGGGGCTGCGCTCTTCTCGCTTACGATCACCCCTCTTCCACTCTTCATGACGATCCCAAGAGATGATGGCAGCTGCGAAGATGGCCAGATCGGCGGCTGGCATAACCGTACCCTTTGCGAGAATGACTCGGTCCCCGATCGTATAGTCTCGGACAGCGGCCATTGGCTTCATGCCGAAAACCGACCTGACTGTGGACCGCGTCTCGAACGTTTTCTGGTTGTTTCCATTCAACCACTTTACCT